GCTCTGACTTTGAGACTTAGACTGATTACAATTGTCCAGGCATTATACAGGGTTAATTAAATCTTTATTCCTTGTGATTTTGCCTTGGCCCCACCAAGTCAGAGACCTGTCATCAGTTCTCTGTGATAGAGCACTCTATATGTGTATAAATAATGGCTGATACCAACTGACAAATTAATCCATAAAAAAATCCATTCTACACGGGGCGTCATTTTCTGGGCCCTAGCCTGTGTCACATGCCTGGTCTACACCCCTGGGGAAAATCCACATCAAAGTCCTCACAGAAGTGTGTTTTCAGAGCCTTGTTCGATATGCATGGAGCTGAAATTCTTTGGGAACACCTACGGTTGGGAGGCTCTGAAAACAATCAGGGCCCTTGCCTCGAGGCCAGGAAGAGATTGCCTTCCCTGAAACACACTCTCACCTTGGCAGCTGGGGACTGATGCATGGGAGGTCAATCAAGTTGCCTCTCTAAGTCACATGGGGAGGGAGCGCTTTGTGGGTCCAGTCCAGCAGTAGAATGTTCCAGATGTCCCTAAGTCCGATATGCCCAAGATGTATTTGGGGTTCAGCGGGTGCCATAAGGTGTGCCAGATGGCCCTTCCTGAAAGCCCCTTAGTGAAGGACTTCGGTCTCATGCCTTGTGTCACAATGTGACCTTGAAGGTCTTTCCCTGCCCATCCCAAACTTTTTGGGAGGTCCAAAGAAAAAACTAGGCTGGGTATGGGGTTCAAGTGAAGGCTAACTTGCACTATCCCCATGCCATGACCCAGAGACGCCCTGGCCATCCTGACTCCACCTATGGGTGTTGCACTGCAGTCCCTGATCAGTGACTCCTGTCCAATTCCCTTGGAATTGTCCAGGACAGTGTATACATTTGGAATTGCCATTCGGCACCCACAGATTGGAGGCCTATAAGTTTGCCACCATCAGGCCAGAGCCTGGAGGCCTTGCTTCCAAGGTAGAAAGGTTCTTGGTGTGTCAGAGGCCTTAGGAGGCGAGGGCACACGATGTTTAGAGATCCCAGCCCTTGGTTTGATATTTCCAGTTACCTGAAATGTGCCAGGATGCTGCCGGCCCTGAAACGTCATCCCGGGTCACTGAAAGACAGCAGAAGAGACAGGGACATGAGCAG